TTTGGAAGCAATCTGCAGGAAGCCAGCGGCATACCTGATTAAATAGAGACACTGCTCCCTCCCACCAGTCCCTCCCTCAACCCATCTCTGGAGCAGTGAAGGAAAACACAACGGCCTACTTGATTGATTTTATTTTCATTTTTTATTGAAAGCTTCATCAAAGAAAACAGAAGTTTAAACCTAACATCCACTGATCTACAGAAAGCCCAAGGAATGGGGGAAATGGTAGCTAACTTGACTGTGGTACAGATGAAAAAATTAAAAATAAAACCAGAAACACCATAGAGTTACAGAACTTTCCATGACAGAGACAGCAGTACAAAATGCTCGTAAATAAAGTTCGAATTTGAATGATGTTTCAGAAGTTTCATGAAGTCAAATATGGCCCAAAACAAGGGTTTTAAAAGAAGCTGTGTCCCTTTTTTTTTTTTTTTTAAGAAACAGGGTATTTCATAGCAAGTACACTTTTACATTTATTTTTTGAAATTTAAGATTCCAATTATAAGCCTCTTCTTTTTAAATAAATGGAAACATTTATTTCCAGAATGGAGAAAACTTTTTCAAGTGTCTCTTTGAAATAGTTTTTATAGTTCCTGAAAAGTATGACATAACTCATTTTTTTCATATATGAGGAAATGACATATTTTGGGGAGGAGGACAGAGCATCTTTCTTAAGAATCTAAGACCAGAGGGTTTAAAATACAAAGCATAACACTAAAGTTACACTTTAGACAATACTTAAATTTGAAATGATCAGAAAAAATCCACTGGAGTGTCAAGGTCATTCACCCTTATTACTGTGATGCAAAATAAAAAAAAAATAATAATAATAATAAAACGATGCTTTTTTTTTTTTTGCCAAAGATTTAAGATAGGGATAAGAGTATATATTTAACCACAAGATGTTATTATATTCTCATAACTCAATTTTGAGTTGACCTTTTCTTCTGGTTAAAATTTCAATAGTGAACGAAACCAAAACAGCTTTCTTTTGAGGGAAGCCAAATACTTCGTTACAGTTTTTTGGTTTTTGTTTTTTTTTTCCCTTTGTATTTGCAAGAATACAGCCAACTCTCAATTATTTGCAGTGGATGGGAAAGGAATATTATGGATAATAAAAATCCGTGGTATAAAATGCACTGACTGTTTTAATAATGAATTTAAACTCCTTCGCTAAATTAAGACTTAACAAAGAAAAAGACTGATTTGAATTTGATTTCCAAATGTTTCTTTTCCACCCCCAGGGTGAAATGCTAATAAAAGGAAATAGAGCCCAAGACTATTAAGTTGAAAAAAGAAAACAAAACAAATCTACCAAGTAGATAGTTAGCCCTTCAAAAATTGAGAGTGATTGTATTTCTGCAAGACTCCGTCACTGGGGAAGTTACGAACTTGGAGTGAATAAAATGGAAGATAAGTGTGATTCCGTGGCCTAGAGGTTATTCCTGCAGACTCCAAGCTTGACCTCACCTCTGCTCCAGCTTTAAAGCTTCCTGAACAGAAGAAGCATTTCTTAAAATATTATTTTTCTTACCAGGGGAGCAGAAGTTATCCAACATTTTTTTATGTCACAAGGAGCATATGTATTGGGGTATAAAACGAAAGAGAAAAGAAACCACCAATCTGGGGTGAGCTCACCTGTCCCACATGGGAAAAGATCTTTGGGGCCACTCAGAGATCTTGTATTTAGCTTTGTACCTTCCTTAACTCAGTACAGTCCACAAAGGACAGCCAAGACCGAGAGCACTTAGATGAAGGGACCGATTTCATATTTAAGAATATTGGGTAAGAAGTGTTGAATTTGAGTTAGACTCAACTGTCTCCCAGTGCCACAGTGGATGTCATTTGTAACAAATTGATTCATTAATGAAATCCCATTATCACTCTGTCACAGCAAAAGGATAGTGTACAGAATCAATGAGCCTGTTTAAATTCCGTCAGTCCCTCAGATTGGAGGGAGATGCTGTCAGTCTCGGTGAGCTCAAAAATTTGAAGGATGCCAGGCACAATAACACAAAAAAACAAAATCTCATCCTTCACTTCCTACTGTGGACAAGATAATGTAGATCAAGGCTCTATGACATGTTTAAACTTTGTTAGGAGGTGTGATTCCTCAAATGTTCTGAATGTTTTTTATACACATACATAAATATTCCCCTTCATTTGATTTTATATCATCTAAAAGCATTTATCACTGAAACCCACTTAAGAATTTCTCTCTGCTTATCAGCTCATCTGCAGTGGTTCGCGCACGCAAATTAAGGATGAGACTGAATTGTCAAATGTATTTTTAGTTTCCTACTAACATTATAATCTGTCTAGACAGTCCATTGAAATTTCGGAATCATGAAGAAGACCGCAAAAGTGCTATTCAAATCAAATCTCACTCTTCATTAATGGGGACTTTAGGCCCCCGTAAAAGATACATAGAATTCCCAAATATTCAAACAAATTTTTTTTAGGGAAAAAAAAAAAGCTACTCTTTTTTTGTCATACATGAATTGAAATGATTTTTGCACAGTTTTGCAAGGGGTTGATGTATTCTGCAGGGACAGTGACCTTGCTGCTCCATCCAGCCTTTTTCTGCTCTCAGCCTTCCATCTCTAATATGAGCGTTTTAATACCATGTAGTTTTTCACTAGAATGGGTGGAAGTGAGTCTTACATGCTGTCAAATGTGGCAGGTCTGTTAAAGTCACAGGAAGAATTGATTCAAGTGAAGCATGGAGACAACATCTGAATGATTGAAATTTACCAAGGAAACAGCCAAACTGAACTCAGATACAGGATTTTTTGTTTTTGTTATTTTTAAGAATATTATGTCACCTGCAACTATCAAGGCGTGCCCGTCTTCAAGGACAAACAGTCACCAGCACCTGCTAGCATCTCCTTTAGTTTACCTAGGGTCCAAGATAACTTCAGAACACATGGCCATGCATTGAGTCACTATGCATGACTTGTCTCCCTGACAAAACCTTATCGCTGTTACAAGAAAACCCACTCCTCCACTGACCATGTAACTAAAGTTTGAACAAGATAACATTTATCCCACTTGGATAGTGGCTTTGGTTTGTTTTCTGACATTTAGAAGCCTTGGCAATTAAAGTCAAAAGGAAAAAATGGAAATACCTGAACAAATGTTTGGAAATATGATGAACCAGAATACTTACATTAAAAAAAAAAAAAGTGTCCTAAATAGGATTAGAATCACCATAATATCAGTTGCGGATTAAATCAAGATTCTGATGTCTGTATATATTGAACACATATTTTGGTTTGTTTTTGTCTTCATACAATGCGATGCTGCTTACCTGTTCATGCTTTTTTTTATTCCCCCAGACTTGACTCTTAAAAACAGTCATTAGGTAAGATGACAGATGCAAATTTGAACATGTGCCATTTTTCCTTTTTTTTCTTTTCTTTTTGGTTTGAAATAAGATATTTTCTAGAATGGCATGATATAAAAAAATCCAAACACAAAACACACATGGACACATAAAATGACAGGTAATTTCCTTGTGCCTGAAGTGGCTTAAAAAAATTGAGATCATTGAAATTTCATAGTTGAAAAAAATGTTTCTGAATGTATAAATAAAGCAGTAGTTTTGAATAGAAACAGGAAGTTACCTAGGCACATTCATCAGCCACATGGTAGCTACCTCTTAGCCTCATTGTTGATTGCGTAAATGAGACTTTCTTTGTATCACATTAAGGTTTGTGTGTGTGTGTGTGTGTGTGTGTTTTACAGAAACAAAAGAAAGCATGTTGGTTTCATAGTCAAATGAATTATGCCCAGGATAATCCTTATTTATACAAAGAGTTCAGAGACTGAAAAAGAGAAACAAAAAGCACAGTTCCTATACATATTCCTTATACCCCCTGTAACTCAGGGGCCTGCTTCGCAAAGATAAAACTTAAGTGCCACCCTTGAAATACATGAGATGCTTGAAGGACAGAACAGAAGAAAGCACACATCTAGGATTCTCTTGAGAGCATGGAAAACCATTAAGGATGGGTGTCACCAGATGGAATTTCTCTGTAGCAGCACATGCTACATTTTCTTGGATCCATTCATGCTTCTGATTTGACTGCAAAGATAGGGAGCCACTTTCTAAACTTGAGTTTCCAATTCATGGGGTTTCAAATAAAAGAATTGGGCCCGTTTCTGTTAACAGGTCACAAATAGCTGAATACTGACAATTTCAGAACAGCCAGACTCATTTCTGATATTGACCTAATGGGAATGTGATTTGCCTTTTAAGGGTTTTTTGGTTTTTGTTTTTTTTTTTTTGGTAGTTTTTAAAAGCCTACCCTGTTTTCTTTAACAGTGCACTTCACGCATTTCCCTCTTCCCTCTGGACTAAGACAATTTCCCCGGACTTCGTTTGTGCAAAGACTTTCCCCTCTTTGCTTCTAATGATCCCTTCAGAAAGCAACTCTGGTGCATGGTTCAACTAACAAACTTCCATCAGTCTTAATTTCAGGTAAAACTATACAGGTTGAACATGGATTCCATGAGTCAAATATGCAGAGATGTTTGTTAAGTCAATCTAATTCATTTTAGACAAAGTTTTGCATCATTCTCAATGCAAATATATCTCCTTTGGCTTTAAAGATTGAGCAAACCTAATACTTTTGGTTCTTATCAATATAAATCATACAATTTCTTGATTGTCAACTAGCATTTTAAAAGCTTACCTAAACTCCACTAACAGAATCCTCAATCTGATTGGTCCTACTTGTCTCAGAGAGTTAAACAGAAACAAAAGGTCTATTTTTGTCCTTCTTCTGACAACACCAGGGTATGAAAATGCAATGACAGGAGGCAAGAAGAAGATAGCCCCAGAATCAAGGTGACTATTCATGGTAGATGAACAAAGACTGAGGTGAGAAGACAAAACCTAGAGGTGTTGGATTGAAAAGGAAGACTATTGTTACAAATACAATGAGACCTTTTCAGGAGACCACTCATCACTTAACAGAATATCACTAAGCTGCTTTTTTTGTTTTGTTTTGTTTTGTTTTTTGACAAGTGACCTTTCAGACCAGTTCCGGGAAGGACCTTTAGTTCAAAGTTCACAGAAAGGAATTTCAACCTGTTAAACAAGGGTCTCCACATATCAGTGGCCATCCACACAGGTGTCACCATTCAAGAGAGCTAGTAAGGAACCAGAAAAGCTCACAGATTGAATATAAAGCCATTTGGCTCTGTCAGTTGGTATCCAGAACTCTTCCTGCGGAAACTGCTGAACACAGCAGGTGCAAGCTTTTCTACTAGAATCAACAAATGTATGTTAACAAAAAAACAAAAACAGAAACAGGAACAAAAACAAAAACAAAACACCTTTTGTTGTGTTCTGTTTTGCAGTATATAAAACACCAGTGGAAGGTAGTTTAAACAAACAACAAAGTAAGAACTGGTCCGGCCATGTAGGTCAAATAAAATTCTTAAAAAGAAAAGAGAAGAAATGGAAAACAACCTCTATCTTCTGGACTGCAATAGGGTGCCACTTCATCTTTGGTATAAAATAGGCCATCCATAGGCTGAATTTGATCACAACTAGGAAAGACTACAGAAATTGTCAACAATTTCTCTATCTATTGCTTTTTTTGTTTTTTTTTTTTTGCACTTTTTGACCATAAGCTCCTATCTACTTAAGTTTTTTTTTTTAATGCTCTTAAGCTAGGTTTTGCAATGTGACAAGCAAAGCTGACTAAAAACTTTGTAAAGCTCATAAAAAAGACTGCAGATAAAAAGCACTAATGCTTTTGCTAGCGATCACGCTTCGTAAATAAAAAAAATCTGCATTCTGCCCCCCAAACACGCATTATTTCTAATGCAGTTGTTTTTAAACCAACATTAATAACTTTACCGTAAAATGTTTTAGCCTTCTAGAATGATTCAACACTTAAGACAAAGTTCATGAAAAGTCCCAGCATTTTCCCAATTCTTGCAGTTGCCATGGTTTCTTTTATCAACAAATTTTCTTCAAATGAAGAAAAACATTTTCTTTTAAACTGTACAGTTTTTTTTCACCCTAAAAACTCATAGTCTTAAACTTCTGTACCAGTTAAAGCCGGCACAATATTTCAATTCTTTCTTGAATTTTTTTTTTTTAACAAGACGTTGACAGCTTGCCTTGAGAGCCTTTGACGTCCTTAAAATTAAGGCAATTAAGATTCAAGATAAACCTTACCTAAATATTTCTAAGAAAAAAATAAAATAAAAAACCAACCCACTAGATTTAAACAAAAAGGGGAAAAGAAAGGGTAGCTTAATTACCAAGGAAGACAATTTGTTTCCATTTCTGCTTTGCCCACCTGTTGATATCTGATTTTCTGTTTAAAAAAACAAAAATCTGTCTACATCTTCTGGTAAATTCTGAATTCAAATGGTCTTCCAGATAAAATGTCAACCTTCTGTGTTTTGTTTTGTTGTTGGTTTTTGTTTGTTTCCTCTTCTGGGATTTTTTTCTTTAAAAAAAAAAAATGATGGCAAAAATAAACTGTCAGACCACATGAAGGAACCATTTGCACGGCACATAAAAACACTTTGTTTTCACTGGGTAAAGTAGAAAATTAAAAAAAAAAAAAAAAAGAAAGAAAGAAAGAAAGAAAGCATTCCATCGACGCCTGTGCAAACTGGAAGCCAACTTCCTGTTCAATGAAGTTTCTTCGTTCAAGGCAATGTTTCCGACCAACATTCTTCAGTCTTGTTTATGGTCTGTGGAAACAAATGAGTTGAGTGTTCGTTACATCAAAGCAACTGTGAAATCACCTCATGTGCTCTTTTCCAGTGAGGTCTCTTTAAAAGATACCAAGCCCTTTCACTATCTAGAAAATTGTACTAGTTTTAAGTCCTGTCACTTTCAGACAAATATATATTTAAGCCAGAGAGTTTGCTCACATTAGATATCAAGGCTAACAGATCAAGAATATCTTTCAATATAAAGCAGCAAATTTGACAAATACAGGCAGACAAGCAATACTCCCTTTGTGCGCAGAACCTATTTTTCAACGTCTGGCTTATGCTGTAGGTACCCCAGAAATTCTTTGAGTAATGTAGTCCCTTCAAAACTCCTGTGGGATACATCACGAACTCACTCAGCAAATGTGCCCATCCCTGTATTACCCAAGATACAGCAATGGTTGTGTGTCTTCCTGTGTTATTCACCAAGTATATTCACAGAAGCCTTATCTGAGCCATTAAAATAGTAAGACAGTTAAGAGGCAGTGGGTTTTGTTCACTTTCTCTCATTCCCCCTTCTTCCTTATTCACCCATCTCATCAAGATTTTTAATTCTTGAGAACAGGCCCTATATTCTACGACTTTTTACTCTCCAGAAATCTGGCAGACAGTAAATACATAAAAACTGTTTAACTAGACAAAGGCCACTTATACTTATGCCACCACAGACTAGAATTTTGTTAAATAACTTCAGGGATGTGCTATAAAAATGATTTTTGAAACTATCTATGGGTCAACTTTTTAATTTTTAAAGATTTTATTTATTTGTCAGAGAATGAGAGAAAACACACATAAGCAGGGGGAGCTGTAGGCAGAGGGAGAAGCAGGCTCCCCACTGAGCAAGCAGCCTGACCTGGGACTGGATCCCAGTACACTGGGATCATGACCTGATCCAAGGGCAGACGCTTAACCAGCTGAGCTACCCAGGCACACTATAGGTCAATTTTGGTGAAGCCCACTTGTCTCAGTGCTCTGCAGTTTTTTCTGATGCCCCATCACTTAATTAAGTGAAGAAGCCTCAGCATTGTTGAGGTTGTACAGGGTCAATCACTGCACGAGATGCATGGCTGAGAGAGTTTGTGAAGGCTAAATTGCCACCCTAAGTCTGATCCCCAAACTGTGTCCTCTGGGTAGGGCTGCATTTGCTCTGAGCAAGTGGCTTTTATTCAAATTCACAAAATGCCCTCGAGGATGCTTTAAGGTGCACAGCCCGGTAGTCTGGGATGATCCAGAGAGGTTCTTTTTCCTAATTTGCAAAAAGCACTCATGGGAAGCAGCTAGGTATCTCAGAAACCTGATAAACTTGTTCTTATAATCACGTAAGAAAAGCACCTAGCTGATAGTCAATATTTCCATTTTTAACCAAAAGTTTAAGTTTCTAAGAATACATATTTTGTGAGTTTTATGTGAAAAAGTGGGGCTTCTTTTAAGAAGAAATGCAATTAAAAATTCTGTACTATCAGCAACAATTAGGGAAACTTTATTAGCAGCAGTCATGGGAGCCAGGGTATATATTTGATCTCTATTCCTTTGCAAAGTGCAGACTTAACTCCATTTATTTCTAAACAAATCTACCTGGTTGTGGCAACAAAACCTCCCTTTGTTGGGTTTTGCATTTTTTGTTTTCTCGTCCGTTCTTTCCTCACACTCCCATCTTCCACCTGACTGCTATTCATTTAGCAGGAGATGCCTATTACAAAGTGACTCTCTCGAACAGCTACTCCATGAATGGTGTCTTAGTCAATGGGCTACCCTAACATTGAACACCCACACTGCTCAGGTATGTCATGCGCACTGGTCTTGAAGCATCCATATTTATGAGCTCAGTTACAGCTACTTTCAGCTGTAACCTTACCAAATGTTCCCAATGGCCCTCTCCCACCAAGTGGTCTCTTGCTACATGCCAGCAGATGGGGAGCAATGAATGGTTGTCTTTTGCATTTTCTTGGTTGCTAGCTGCGGTTGGAAGGGACAAGGCGTTGGTACTTAGTAGAACTGAATTCACTCCCATCCACCTTCTCAGTCCTAGATGAGGTGTGAAAGCACGTTTACGTAGGCTTATGTATTGTGCTGAAACTTCTCATCCTCCCCTCCAGCCCCCGAAGAAAGCAGAGTGAATAGATCAGGGAGTAGCAAACCACAGGCTTAGAATTCTAGACTTTTAGAGATGGAAAGACGTCTTTGGGATCATCTAAGGATGCAGCGTCCCCCAGTTTGGGGGAAACCGCACATTACGCTCCCAATCCTGCACTACCCACAGGTAAACTAAACATATAGGTAGGGCACCAACCAAGAAGGGTATTGGTACAAAATCAAATGTGTTTAAAGAATGAATCTTTTCAATTAGTATCAAAATAATCATCCTGTTGACAGTGAACGTTTTGTTACGTTTTTTAGTAACTTAATATGTACGAAAAAACTCTCAGAATTCCCAAGTAGGAAGTCCAGTCTACAGGCTAATCTTTCAGGAAGTGAAATGTTTGATTTATCTGGCCCTCTAGGCGGTCCGGCCATTAGCATTTTAAATAGCTTTGAAGAGAACTGCAATTAAGAAAGCGTTTCACTTAGGTTAGGGGGTGTTTGCTCACACTCCCTGGGATCCCCCCCATCCCCACCTCCAACTCCGGGGAATGGTGGTAAATCCCCTCTCAGCACTAAACCCTAATTTACACTCTTGGGAGAACAGTGATCTAATCTCTTGCTCTAAAGAAGAGGAAAAGGAAGCTCCAGAGGGGTTAGCGACAACTAGTAGGTGGCAATTAGAATTTAACTGTGCTTGAAGACTCATATTTTTCAAGCCCTGGTCATTTTAAAGATTTTTAAGATTTCTTAAATAGCACACACAAAAAACCCCCTGCTAACTGGGACAGGAACTGGAATTTCCACAGAACTTCCAAAACAAACCACAGGTATCACATCTGCCTTTGCAGATAAGACCACCTAAAGTCCCTTTTGCGTGAGTAGCCTCTTTTAACAAGAAAGAAGAAGAAGAAAAAAAAGCATGAATACAAAATGTGAAGAACTGTGTTTTAGTTTGGAAAGTGGAATTTGGAATAGTAAAATATCTGCTGCAAGAGATCCCAAATATAACCTTTCTATTCATATATGCACATCATTTCTACTTCTCAAACTTAGATCCCGCAACCTTCTGTCGGGATGTCTGTAATTTTCTTCAAAACATCTTTAGTATAGACATTATATTACTAAATCTATGTGTGATGGGTTAAGCTACTTTTCCCAGGCACTCAGCTACCCTCATCCAAATTTCACACCCCACAGGAGGTCAGTTACCATTTAATGAGAAAGGCCAGAGGTTTGCACAAGTACTTTAAACTGTACGTATCTCAATTAGCATAATGAGTGTCAGAAATGGGTGGCCTAAAGAAAGTAGCGGCATGTTAATTAGCACAATGATGCTGGAAATTAGCTGCCATTTGTGAAATTTGGAGTATTCAAGATCACTTGGATAGGCTAAAATATTTTAGAGATCCTCTTCAATGTAGGTGAAAGCTACAGTTAGAATGTACGGATATTCGTAGCCTTTAACTTTAGGGATACTGCTTGTAGCTTGATCTCAAAACAGTTTATTAATTTATTTGTGCCCATTTGGTCTCAAATTATTAATTTATTTGTGCCTGCTTTCTTATGAATGCTTCCCTGAAAATGTCTCTGTGGCGACTCTTGCATTCCCACAAACTTTTTCCAGGCATGGTTATATAAGAAAAAAAAGAGCCCAGGTGTCTACATAACCCACAGGCTTAGCTCAATTCCCAGTGTCTTCCTAAATAGTTACACAGAATTTCATGCTTTACCATGACACAGGTCAGCTTCTCCTGGCTGAGACGGATAAAACCTTGGATAGACACACATTCATTTCTTCTTTTTAGAAAATTTCAGAATAGGTTGTTACCTATCTATTTATTTGACCTAGAATATTATTTTTGTTTTCATTCACTATTTTATTGTTGTCGTTTCAAATCAAAAAAGCTCCCGGCACTTAGGTAGCATGTCAGAGAGAGGAAGTTGGAGAACATAAATAGGACCTGTTAACAATTTTCTCCAGGTTTAAAGATACGCACACGAGGCCATGCAAGGGGTAGTCACAGAGCACAGGTTTGAAATGCCCCATGTTCCTGTACGCTTTCATCTCTGGCGTGTCGCCTCAAACTCGCCCTGTCGAGCATCCTGTAACATACATTCCTGCATAAGTAAGTGCAAAGGAAAATTCCTCCAAATGAGGAAACCCTTCACCACAATGCTTACCGCTGTGAAGATACACGTGGAGGGTTTCTTTCTCTGATACCTATCCTCTGTGGAAAGGCCCACATTATCAGCCATAGGAATCTGTAGTTCAAGGCACGTAACCATGTGACCATGGTAGGGAGTTATTTTTAAAATGTTTAAGCACTTAAAGCTTTCTGTGGTCATACTCAGACTCCTTGGATAGTTCAAGGAAAAAAGCTTCTTTGAATTGACTTATTATAAGGATAATTAAATCCCTTATCTTTCTCTACAGATCAGGGCCTCCTTGGTTTTCATTTTATCTGCCCCCGGTTAGTAGCATCAGTAACTCCAGGATTTTGTTCAGAATTGTAATGCCCAGTTTCCACTTTCCTCCTCCTTCAGTCTATCCCTCCCACCGGTACCCTCATCCTGCACACCCTATCACACTTGCCACCATCTTACTTCTGACCTTTGTTCCCTCTTGTCTGAATCCTTGGGATGCTGGACTGTTTCCATTGCTTCCAAATCCATTGTTTACCTCAGCTGGAAGAGCATTTGTAGAACAAAGGAAATGCTGTCCAAACACCTCGGTATGACATCTGATATTAGAATCTGGCTCCAATCTATTTTTTTACACTGTTGTACTATTCTGAATCCCCTTCTCTGAAAATCAAACTGAGCTTTCTCTGACTTTGGCCAACCTGTTACTCCCCTTAGAACGCTCCTTGACTATATGTGAGACCCAGTTCCAGTTTCCACAACTTCCACCAAAACTGACCCAGTTGAGAAAAATAAAATGCATTCTCCTATTACAACAGTATTCTTTAAAAGAGCCCTGTTCGTTTTCTTCCTTGCAGTAGACACATCATGTCTATGTATATGTCTAAATTCCATACTAGATTATAAACTCTGGAGGGCAGGGATCCTGTCTCCCAGTATAGAAACTGGCCTGATGCTGGAAACTCCAAGTGCAGAATGTTGACATTCCTTCCCTTAAAGCCTTCCAGAGCTTTTGTGACTCTTTTCAAGTAAAATTGAGAATGATTCCTGTAGACAAAGCCAAGTATCCAAGGACCAAAAGCTTTATAAAAACTGCCTGTTTGACTCTGTCTCCTACACCCCTTCCCACCTCCTCCCCCTTCACCACACTCTAGCCACAGGTCCCTATTCTAGACCTTTGGACTTCCTGTTTTTTTCTGCCTAGAATGTTTTTTCTCCAAATATCTCCAAGATTAGCTTGTAATTATCTTTTAGATCCAGACCTCTATGAGAGACCTTGCCTGATACTATATCTTAGGTATTTACCCTGTCACTTTCTACCACAAGAATCTTTTTTAAATATTGGCTTGGCTTTGCAATTCTGTGGGGTTTTATTATTTATTATTTATTATTTATTTATTTATTTTTATTGTTTGCTGATTGGTCCACTGCCTATGAGTCTACTCCCAGCAGGAAGTAAACTCCAAGAGAGTAGGAAAGGCACCTGCCTCCTTCATTGTTCTTTTCCTGGCATCTGGAATTCTGCGGGCCACAGAGTATGGCCGTATCGATACCTGCTGACTGGGGAGGATGAAAGCATCTCTTTTATTTATCCAGACATCGTTGAACTGTTAGCAAGAAGGGTGCGGATCACTTGTTTCCTCATTATGTTCTGAAACCGTGAAAGCCGGCGTCACCTACTCACCAAGTGTCTCTGGCCAATATAGTAGCTTTCATTTCCCACCAGTGTCTCTCACCATGTTTCCCCACAGCCAGTGTCTGCTCCCTTCTCACACGTGACCCTCTGAACGGACTGAAAAAATTCCAGTATGCTGAGAACACAGTACCAGAGACTACCGTATTGTTCGGTATGTGCAAAAGGGATTCACGTAGGCTATAGGTGAATTGAAAATACAAACTAGAAACAAAACCATGCCCAAAAATGCTTTACTCTTATGGATCTTTCCCGAAAGTTGTTATGTGAAAGTAATAATAATAGTAACAAAGGTTAAGTCACGTGGTCAGCACATTTAATTTGGAAGACTACCTTTAGAAGCTAAACTACTTATAGGAGACTCCATTACCCTGATTAATCTTTCAACAATCAATTCTCTCAATATGTATCGAAGTTAAATAGGAATGATCAAGAAATGGGAGCAACACTATGCAGGTGGGAGGATCTCTTGGGAATTCTCTAGTCACTGGGGCTTTGACTGCTACCTACAGATTAGAATACTTTGCACAAGACATCTGTATGTAGATTGAATTTTTGTTAATTACTTTGATTTCAAAACCTCCTAAATTTTAGTCTACATAATTGCTCAACACAAAGCCAACTGTACTTTATAAATGACTTAAAGTTTTCCAAGAGTAATTATGATACATGATTGTTGCTTTGTCATTTAATTCCTAAACAAGACTCCACATTGATTTAGATTTCACAGTACCCTTTTTCATGAACTACTTTACTGGATGTTCAAGGCAGCCCTGCAAAAGGAGTGGTACTGTCTTCATTTAAGAATGCATGCAGGCTCACTATCCATTTCAAGTGGGAATATTAGAGAATTTTTCCCAAAAATATGTATGGTAGATTTTTTTTTTTTAATGCCCCTTTCTGTATTTAGGGTTTATGTGAACTCTTACATAAACTCTGGGCTTGGCCATGTGATTTTCTTTGGCCTAGGGGGCAGTAATAAATGCGTCCAAATGGATTGAGAAGTTCTTCATTTGTACTTCCTCTCTTGCTGCTCTCTGAATTCTGGGACTTCCAGGTGAATAAGCTGATAGAGATCAGAAACACATAATCCAATTGCTTCCATTATATTAAACCAACAGACGACTGACACCCAGAAGGAGAGCTGCGAAAATGACCATCAGTTGTCCCCAGATGCTTGAGCAATTCTAGTCAAGACCAGAAGGTCAGTTCCATCTGAGGTCAGCTCAAATTGCTGATCCACATAATCATCAACAAAAATAAATGCTTGTCACTAAGTTTGGGATGGTCTGTACTGCAGCAAAAGCTAACAGCTACAACATGAGAGAATGGTGGTGAGATGGTCGATCTTAAGGAGAAGAGCTCAGCATAGCCCGAACTTACTTAGACTGTTGGTAAGAATATGCAGGTGCATGTTCGCTGGATGTGTCCACTGCTATCTGTTGCTGCTGACCACTGGTGTCCTGGGATGAAGGTGCCACTGTCTGGGGAGAGGTATCAGCAACAACACCCTAAGGAGGCAAGTAAGAACACAAAAGCCTTACTGGCTTTAGCAAAGGGCCTTCTTCCAGATGGACAACAGGGAATACCTCTCTACTGTTTGGCTTGAGTAGAGTTGCACTCGGTCAAATGAAGCTACAGGAAGTACCCAAGGGAAAACCACAGAGCATATTTGGATAAAGGCTGAGGAATTCCCTTTAGTGTGTCACCAAGAGGCCTTGCCCACAGAAACCTCTACCACAGCTGAATGGTCAGAAAATCATTTTCACCAAACTTAGAACTCCTAAACCATGGTTGCATATAGTCACACTAAATAATAATTTATTAATCAAAAGCTCATGCAGGATTCCTATAAAAACTTGTATATTCAAACATTTCCCTGGGGTAGTGTACCATGTCATGTCTCTTTGACATGGCAAAACAATGGCTCTGACCTAAAAAGGAAAGGAAAAGAAAGGAAGGGAAAGGAAAGGAGAGGAGAGGAGAGGAGAGGAGAGGAGAGGAGAGGAGAGGAGAGGAAAGGCGAGGCAAGGCAAGGAAAGGCAAGGCAAGGCAAGGAAAGGCAAGGCAAGGCAAGACAAGGCAAGACAAGGCAAGACAAGGCAAGACAAGGCAAGACAGAATACATAAAAGTTTGGAACTCTTTTAAAAGGATACTGTTAGGTAGGTTTTCCATTCAGCAATTTGGTTTGTTTTGTTTTCTACAACATGAACTAGAATTAATTTCGAGGTTTCAAAAAACAAACATCCTTAATCCTGATTTGCTACTTCCCCCACCCTCTCGTTTTTCACAGATGCCAACAAGGATGCCAACAAGGAGCTGATCATCATTAGGGAGAGATGTTTGCTTCTGAGAAAGGCACACATGGTTTTATTTGGCAGGTGGGAGGCTTAGAGAGGGCATCTCTCTAAATACATTCTCTTGGTTTTATTCATAGTCTTGGACACCTACAGTGATGTCAGCTTTCAAAACTTCTTGGTCAACTCTCTGTCCCTAACTAAACGTTCCTTAAATTATTCCTTAGAATCCAAAAATTCTCTTTTTCCCCCTAATATACAATTGGTATTGTGCATTTTTCTGAATGTCCCACCAGCATTTATTTGTGTGGATATTGGTAAGTTTTCAATGAGTGTTTTATATAGAAAATATATTGGTGCTTTTTCTATAACTCAAAGCAATTTATCAAAGTGTACCTCCATTTTTCTTAGTGAAAGACTTCTTCTTCTCCTTTTTTTTTTTTTCTTTCTTTCTTGGTTTTTTGTTTTGTTTTGTTTTATTATGCCCAACGTGGGACTGGAACTCATGACCCTGAGATCAAGAGTTGCATATTCCACCTACTGAGCCAGCCAGGTGCCCTGACTTGAAAGATTTCTTTTTAAGTATAGACATCTTTTTAATCTATATTTAGACTGTTTCTAATAAGTCACATTGTTAGATGTGTCCCATTATTTTATAGTCATTAGAACACTCAAATTCTGTAGATAAGCACATCCATATGTCAGTGTAGACAAAGAAAAATGCAAATATGTTGTAGAGATCTATGCTTAACATGCCTAGAATGTCTAGATTCTGATGATCTAGATGCTTTTTGATGGTCAAATACATCATCAAACAACAAGCAAAACCAAAGAAAGCCCACATGTATTTTAATCAGGTAGTCTTAAAATTCTGAAAAGCCAATTAAAACTTGATCAGTACTGACCCACTCTTTGGGGCCCACAGGTCCAGAGCACATAAAAGATTTAAAACTGGACCTCTTTGGTTTCCTAAATTACATGATGGTGTTCTCTTAAACTTCTATGTTTCCCAAACCTTGGTACTGGCCAATATCTGGCATATGCCAAAACAAACATTGTGTAAGATCCAATTTATTCTGTGAAGATTTCCCCAATCTCTATAGTTGTAGAGATTGAGCAAGTCATGGTAGACCTCCCTGTGGAGTGGTGACAGCACTCAAGTTGCTGGCCAACTCATGGAGTAGGAATAGCATGGCCTCCAGAGGGGTCCCTGCTGATGGGAAGAAATGCACTGTCATCATTAACAGCACATGTCATCAGGAGAAGGGGAAGTGTGGCAAGAGACCATAATGGCTAGGACTACACAGAAATACACAATTCTAAGTGTTTTAGCACTATCTACATAGCTCTATGCTCCTTTCTTTTCTATGTAGCTTGCTGGCTCTGTCCAGTAAAATAATTTTTACTGGGGATGGATTCAGCCCAATGGAAAGAGAGAAGGAAAGGGACAAAGCTTCCATTAAAGATAAGATGATTTCATCATTGTGGTAACCACAGCAAAGAGGGTGCAACTTTTTTTTTTTTTTAAATTTATAGGAAGCCACAAACTTGCCAAGTTTCATTCACTAAAGCAGTGGTTATTAATCCTTGATACATATTAGAATCACCTAGGGTTTTTTTTTTTTTTTCACCTGAGATCTTTTAAAAATCCTGATGTCCAGTCAATACCCCAGACAAATAAATCAGAATCTGGAGATAGGACCCAGGCATAAATATTTTTTAAAGCTCTCTAAATAATTGCAGAAAATAATATACAGAGATGTTTGAGAACCAGTGCACTAATGTGAAGATAGATTCCCAAGGGATCTTGTTAAAATGCAAATTGTGATTCAGTAGGTCTGGGTAGTGTCTCAGACCTTGCATTTCTAACAAGCTTCCCACTGATGCTGATGATGACCCTGGTCCAGGGACACTCCTTTGAGTAACAAGGCACTAGCAAACTCATTCAAATAGTTGCAAACTCTTTTTCCTGCCCTACTTATGAGTTATTTGTGGTTAACATTTGATGGGGTAGTGATTTGGTCTCTGATCTTTATAAAAACGATACTCCCCTCTTACCTTTATAGCATATTGATTTATTTCATGTGCGATGCACAACATAGGCATGTTGGCGTACTTTCATACAGTGAGCCTGGAATGTCAAATTTTAGAGCAACCCCAAGACCACAAATAAGGATTGCCTGGGTTATGGGGGACCACGGTGCATGAGGCTGAGATCTGTCATCCCTACCTCTTTCTATAAGACAGAGACAGACTTACTTCAATAGAAACAGCTGTTGGAGGCACAGGCGTGTACTGGGGAATGTAGGTCCCTTGCATAGGAGCGGCAGCAGTCATATACTAGAGAGAATCAAAGAAAAATGCAGGTGAACTTGAGATTGCAACTGGTGAGAAAAGTAGATATCATATGAAACTGTTTTAGATGTGTAGCCCACAGCCAGTGCACTATCACACTTCATTTTGATCAATGACGAGGCAGTTCCTATTCAGTAGAGAATGACCTTTGCTTACTGATTCAGCATGAAGAGCAGCCCACCTCCATGGTATCAGTGAGGTATCATCCCCCTTCCCTCACTTTGTCTTTGTAAGCATTCTATCTTAGTTCCCAACATGGCAGTTTCGCGTCTAAAACATACATTCCATAAGGACAGGGATGATATCTGTGTTTTTTTTTTCTTAATTCTCATTTTATTGCTAGCACATATCACACAGTAGGCTCTCAATGAATCATTTGTTGAATGAATGAATCATCAGATTGTTAGTAATCATTTTTTTTCCTAACTTAAAAAAAGAAAAATAGAGGAATAATGCAAGAGATATGCATATAGCAATATTCAGAATTGGCGCATGTTCTCATTTTGTCATTTTCCTATCACTTTTTTAAGTGCAAAAGAAATAGTATTACAGATAATAACAATAATGACAAAGTTTCCTTTGAGCCCTTCCCCCTTCCATATTCATGTCACTGGCAGTATTTTCTTTTTAACTCCTTTAGTTCTCCAAATGTTCTTCATCTGATTGGACAATGAAACAGTCAAACCATTTTTCACTAAGTTGCAGTATTCAGTAAACCATGCATTGGAAATAAGCTGCATTTTTCCATTGCAGAAAGGGAGCCCCAGGAAAATTACTTGCTCACCCACATAACCCAAATTCCATATTCCCATGTCTAATGCATATCTCCCCTGCAAATTCAACATTCTACTCTTTAAGAATAGAATTTTCTATGGAATCAGCTGTATTCCCAAGCTTCTGAACTTGACTAACATCATGAAAACATCAGAACCAGCATCATTGACTGAAGACAAGTTCTCTCCATTCACGAAGGTTGAAGACCTGATTTTGACAGAAAACTGCAAGCCTCTGCTACTTTATTCTTCTAAATTTTCTGAGTTCAAATATAAATGCCATGCATCAATATGCAAAGCCTAAATTACTATGTCTTGTGTATCTTTGTACTTTCAGTGTGCAGGCGACGTAATGGTTCTCAATCAAGGGGAATATCTGAATGGAGATGAGCTCCTCAGTTGTTGGTGGTGGTGTTCAGTATTCATGGAGAATGATAGCAATTAAGCAACTTTGGAATAAACGTATCTCTATCCTAAACCAAAAACTGTCTTACTATATCTACTTGCTAAAAATAGAGACAGGCTTAATGAAACAACCCTAAATCAAACAAAACTAACTGTTGTCTATATTCCACACATAGGAACTAATAAGTGGGCGCCACGAATGACAACTCAGTTCAGTTCCTATCTATATAGAAACAACCTTGTCACTTGGAAGAAGAGCAACTATTTGAATGGCCTGGAGATGTTTACATCAGTTTACACTAAAAAATCACCAGAGATTTCTATGCCCTAGCCCCTGTGCTCTAACAGCAGTCATCAATTTTCTATTGAAATTGTCCAGACTGTCATCTCCTTAAAGGCAGAGGCCAAACTTTTCATGTCTCTGTATCTTCCAAAACACCATGCCATGCCTAATACTCAATAAATAATTGTTCAATGGCTGAAGAGAAAGTTACAAGAAGAAAACCTTCCATTTCCAGTTACATATCTTGCATGCCCTTAGCTGTTAATAATTCTGAGCTCACTGCAGATATTAATTTTACCAGCCCCATAGTTTGTTTGTATACCCTTTAAACATATACTCTGCCAACTCTCCTCATTATTGACCTTTTGTCTTTAAGCAGACATAGGTACTCAGTTATCTGATTGCTATCAGTTTTTCCAAATAAGTACAGAACACAGAGCCACCTTTTGGGAAAGAGTATTCCATATCTAGAGCTCCACGGCAGGTGTCTGCCTTGCTAACAAAACCGCTCTATTTTGGGGATAACAGTCCATTGGCCATTTCAAGATAAGTGGTTCTCTTATGTTATACAGGTTATTAAAAATCCTTTAACTGAGCATTCTTTATAATATATTATTTTTGAATGGTAGCTCAGCTGGGGAAGGAGCTGTTTTCTAGTGCATTACGGCAAATGCTGCAGAATGTATCTTCTTTTGTGAAACTGACATACAATAAAAACTGAGAAATCAAGTTTTACAGTAGCTTATTTAAAGATGATTAAACCAGACTAACTTACTTCCTTCTTCCCTTCCTTCCTTCCTTCCTTCCTTCCTTCTGGTAGCATCTACTAATTTTGCTTAGAACTACATGCTAGGGGTGGGAGAGTGAGAAGATGTGGTGTCTGGGTAATGGACATTGAGAAGGGTATGTGCTGTGCTGTGGTGAGCACTGGGTGTTGTGTAAGACTTTATGTTATATGTTAATTAAAAAGAAAGAACTAGTGCTCTAAGGAACATAAATTGGAAAATGCTTCTCTAATTGAATCTCAAAAGTCTTAGTAGATTTGTAACAAGGGAGAATATATTTTTGCCAACTATGAATTTATGTAAGCCCAGAGTTGATTCTATTGGGGCTCATGTTCTACCTTCTCATCATGGTCTACCTTCTCATCATGGTTTTCCAAGATTTATAATATACAAGTAAAAGAATACCTCATTGATTCAGGTATTTTCTATTCCCAAGTTAGTAATTCCAAACTTCGCAACTGGGTCTAATAAGTGAGCGTGTATCCTTTGCATGAGAATATGATACCACTGGCACTTACCTATAGGACACTACTTTGATCTGTCCCAGCTCCGCTTTCTGCATTTCTCAGGAGCCATTTCTGTGAGCTATGAGTAGGGGCATGGCCTGGGTCATGCAGAACAACACTCATTCTAGTTCACTAGTTCACCAACCTCACTGTTAGACCAACCTTGCCAAACTAGAGTTCTCAGGCAGTGTAGTTAATGAAAAGCATTTTATGTGATTCTTAGCTAAGCTTCTTCAAATAACTTCGAGTTAATTCAAAATCTCATCTGTATTTTGTCCAGTAGACCAGAATCAGTATATTTTCACAAGTCCCATGACATTCAGGGAAACTGTCAACGTGGCCCAAACTGAACTGCTTATGGCACAAATCCATACTCCTCTTTAGAACAATGCTGTGAGCTAGGAAGGATGGCTCACCCATGTTACAGACTGAAATAAGATCCCATGTAATAGGAATAAACTTCAGTTCTTCTGACCCATGACTGAGGACACTTTTCAGTCTACTCCTTTATCTTTGAAATTAAGTAAATAAGGTCTTAGGACATTCCTTTTGATTGTTCCCATCTAATATAGATGTCAGGTTGGTTTGTTGTTGTTGTCAATGGGCTGGAAAAATTGGAGATCCAATTAAGAAACATGGAATGATATGCCTTTGGTTAATATTTTTATTGTCATTTCATTTCCATGGATTTTCTATTTACTTTGTGCTCACAATACCTAAATTTCTTCCAGGAGGACTACCCTAAATGCGTCACTTATTTTACAAAGTAACTTACTCTTCGGCTACTCCTCTGAACAGAACCAAGAGAGATTTTATAGTATAAATGACATCAGCTGAGTTCAGTGTGCTGTATCTTTTAATGAAAAAAAGTCTTTGTCCCCCCCACCACCGCCTTACAGAAAAGACAATAGACAGAACTTGAGAACATTGAAAATTAGGAATAGGCTTATTTTAAACAAGTCAATACTGTGGAGCTTTATGCCCCGTAAGACTATTATTTCTGGATAAACTTTTGCAATACAACTCTGAAGGAGTAGACACATATATTGTAGGGTGAAGCCTTAAGAAGTGACAGCTTTGTAAAATTCGGAGCAAATGCTTACAGGAAATGGCTCCAGCTATGTGTAAGATCAACTCCCAGCTTTAGGTAATTGGTGACAAATAACTCTGAACTTTCTTGGCAAGCACAGTTTGATTTCCTTAAGAGCACAGATAAACTACAGTCAGACTTAATAATCCAGGCTGCACAAACACTGTTTAGATCTGGATGCCTCAGAGACTCCTTTTATTTTATCCACCTAGCAAATGACAAAAGACTAAGAGAATGCCTTGCAATATAAGAAATCTTTCCTTTTGTCTTGGTAAATTGCTATAGATTACTTATTAAAACCATACCAAGAATAGATGTATATCCTTTAAGCTAATTTCTTTTATTGGTATGTCTCAAAGGCTAGAAGATATCTGCCACCATTCTTTCATGAATACAAATTATTTTGCATTTATTTTATACCATGGCTGATGAGAACCACATTGCAATGAGATGAAATGGATAAAAGAAGTATGTCCATATGATATTTCCTTGTTGGTAGCAACCCAAGGTTTAGGCATGAGTGGAGAAATTTTATGGTTTTGGTAAACAGCTTGATTATTTTTACATATTCTAAAAGCACTGGACTTTCACATGTAAGTTTGAAGGAGACCTGAATAGCCATTTTCAAACCCACAGAATAAATTCCAGACTCCATCACTTGTTCCAAGAAGTCTAGACGCTGCATCACCAAGATAGTTACACAGAGAGAGAAAAAAAAAACAAAAAACGGTGAAATTGGAGAGGAATTGTGTTTTTGCCTATTTAAGTCAGGACAAACTGTTTCTGTTACTGTGGAATCATTGATTATTTCCGAGGAAACAAAACTCCACATTTTTAGTTTTGGATTTACTTTCTCTTCCCCCACCAAAGCAAAACAAATATGTTTTATATATTTCCTGTGAAGAAGTTTTCATTTAATAATTTGTAGAGCAAGGAATTTCCTCCACTTGAATTTTTGAAATTTCTTCAAATAATTTATCAAATTGGCTCATTTGGAGTTGTCACTAAACTGCTTAGATTTTAAATTGGTGCTTCTAGTCCTTGCTATAAAATTCTTCAAGCTGCTTAAGAAATTCCAAAAAGAGGACTTGTCCAGGTACTAGCAAACCTGAAAAGTCGGCATAGCTGGCAAAAATATATTCT